ACGAGCACATTGGAAAGAGATGCTCTGCCGTTTCCATACCGTCAGCCCACCCTTAAGTGCAACCATCTTGGTTTTGCAGAAACACGACCACCAAACACCTCGCCTCCAGCACTGAGACGCTAGGAAGTCAATGCCGCTAGTTCCACAGCACCACCTCACCAATAGACGGCGCCACATCGGGCCTCCGAGTCAAGGTGCTCAGCTCGTTCCTCGTTCCCAACCACAACGATGGCAGACCAATCGGCGGGTCCCTCTGAGAACATCCTCCGGCATTCCGTCACCACCAAACGAGGCGGGTAAACAAAGAGGTCGAGCGAGTCCGGCCTACCGCACATCCGCAACTGCCACGGTGGAGCCGATCCATCCGTCCCTGCACAGCTGTTCCGAGGTGCCAACGGCACGCGAAGGGCGAGGGGGAACATCCGCACAGAGGAGGGAAAGAAGCCACAAGGAGACCACAGCTGTGGCCACGTTATGAATGGGAGGCACGCACCTGTGCTCGGTAAAACGCCGAGGGCGGGGAACGCTCCCTCTGGTCACCATTCAAGGAATGGAGCCTGCGGAGTCGGAAGCAGGAAAAGTGCTCCCGACTCGTCGTTTGCGTTTCAAAATGCATCTTCGGCACATCAGAACGCAAAGGGCAACGTATAAAATGCACAATGACGAGGCAGACAAGCACATGCTGTCACTGGTCGAGGTCGGAGGAAAACCAAAGTGTGTGGGGGCATTTGGCGGGTAAGCAAAAAGACGAGATGCGCAAGGAGCGGACAAACTTGCATGCAGAGTAAGCGGCGGCCTGTGAGTGAGGCCGAATCGACTAAGTGTCGAACTGGAATGCATTTCGTTCTGTTGCAAGGAAAACGGTTTAGCCCCGGTTTAAACATTTACCGGTCCGTACCGAGTAACATTCCATGTCAAGAAAAAGACGGAGGACAGTTAGATCGCAGCGATTTCAATATTTATCGGAATATTGAATACCAAAAGAGTGGAGTTGAAAACTGCTCACAAATCATGCAGAACCCAAACAACGAGCCTGTTTTGGCCCATGCACTTCAGGACCTTGGAACCAAGACGTAGCTGCTACCCTACAGAGCAGTGTATCATCAAGCACGACAGGAAAAAGGAAACATTTCTGCCCACAAACCCTATTTTGTGCCGAACAGAGTGGCCCATACCCCAAGGACTACCTGTGCCGGTACATTCCTTCCTCTGCACCCAAATCTGCAGACCATTGCAGTCTCTTGAAAACCGTCATTCCTCGTTCAGTGTTTCCAGCAGACTCGCTATACGTCAAGGCACCGACTCCTTGAGAATGCATATCGTCCTTACGGGTTGTCTTCGGAATCTTCTGGAGCCGCCACTGCTATAGGAGGAGGGCCTCCTCTCTTGCTCATCTTGCATGATTTATTTTCAAGTCTCGGCTAAGTGCATTGTGACGCGGCACTTTTGCTAGGTGATGCCGAACGTGGTAGCAAGGATCCGTGTAAACTGCTGCAGAGAAAATATGAATTTAAAAAACTCGCCTCTCCCTTTTCTTCCCTTAAGCGCGAAACACATGTACGACGAAACCGTCCGATCCGACGTGCGGACTGCCGGAATGACCTTGGGGGGAGAGGGTTTTCGTAGCATCGGAGAGCGTTGAAAACCCTCTCCTCCGACCGTCGTATTGCGCGGTCGGACGTCGGATCGGACGGTTTTGTCGTACATGTGTTTCGCGCTTTACAGAACTAAAACCTTTGCCAAGGGTGATGACGTCCTGTATTCTGTCTCACGATACCTTGGCAAATCGTGTAAGCTATGGTCCCCGTGACCCAACGGGTGTGGCTGAGCGAGGCTTGTGACAATATGTCTCGGGAGCGTTTGTGTCACTGCGCCAAATGTGAGGTCCAGAGGAACCGGCTGTCTGCTGGGCAAGTGTCGTCTGCTATGGAACCAACTCCGGATGAAACAACTACCACCCCAATATTGCCGCCTGTTAGAGTAGCAAGCTCGTCGAGAAAAGTTCTTGAGGTGACAATACGCCTAATTTACCCGCGAATCTGTGGTGTGTGCTAATGACAGGGCAACATTGTGAGCAGAAGCAATCGATTACAGGGCTGCGGTCATGCAAATGTCATTCAAAAAGCCATGATGTTCTCAAAAAAGGGTTGATCCGAATTAAGTATCGCTGAAAATTAGCGCGTCTTCGTCTTTCTCCCGTGTCGTGTAGCGTAGTGTCGATAGAGATGCCAACGTGCGAGTTCAATTACCTTTAGAAGAAAAAGAAGCCAATAACTACTTTGTCGCTGACAGCGCTATAGTTGTGGTGGTAACGAGGCCTGTGACCTCAACCATAAAATGGTGTCACGTGCCTTGCTCCAACGCCCTTACAGGGTCGCAGGGGCTGCAGCCTCCACAGTTTGCCAAGTTATTGTGAAACGGAGTATAGAAGTCTTCATGGAACATCTTGGCCCCACGCTGCAGGGGTCTCCAACAGTGAGCTGCCCCTTTTACAACATTCTCGCCCCCTTTTCTACTGGGCGTGGCGATACGGCAAGCACTTCAACATTTATCTATGTGCTTTCCATTCATTGGGAGCTTTTCTTCATTCGAGAGAAAGCCTTCAGTGAAGTCTATTAATTAAATTGGCCTAATCATCAAATGCAGCATGGACGTCCACAGAGACGATCAATCACTGGCTTCTACTTTTGAAGTGGAGACATGGAAATATGGACGCACAGTCCCTTCATTAGTGTGCAACCATCTTCAACACTCATATTCAAGCTTCACAATGCTGCATAGAATTCTAGATGAAACAGGATAGCTCTATGAAGACCCAACAACTATTGAAGACTCTTCTGCACTTCTCTCTATGTAAACATAGCGACACTGCACAACCCATGGGGGGAACTTGCCACTTTGAATGGTGTTTTTGCAGCAAGAAATAATCGGACAAACAAATATAAATAAAAAGTATGCATCCTCAGCTACTGATCTGACAGCTCAACAGAAGGAAACACCCAGGCTTTAAATGTTCCATGTCGCAAGTTACATGCAGGGGTGTCAAAAAATAGGCAGAAAGAATGCAACCTCTGAGGAGGGAAAGAAAGATTTTCTTACTCCACTTTTCTGAACTCTACTGCTTGCTCCAAACTGACGCTTAGGTGTCCATTGGGGACAGCCTGGCTGGCCGGCCGGCCTGCCCTGCCCTGCCCCCCCCCCCCCCCTCCCTTTGTCTAACAGCCATCTAAAAAAGATGGCTGTTAGACACAGGGTTAACGTAGTCTTCTCAGCCCCGTGCAAACTTTCAAAGATATGCTCTGCGATGACAAAACGGAAGTATGTAGTGTGCTCAAAGAAACACGTAACAAGATACACCGAATGCGTGACTAAGGTGGTTTATGAGATTCCTTTTAGTTGCGGCCAAGTTTACATCGGTCAGACCGACTGATGCTTTAATGAAAGAGCACGCAAACATAAGCTTGCCGTACGCAATAATTCGGGTGGGCATCTTACGGAGCACTGCAAACGATGTGGGTGCGAACCTTTGTCTGAGCACACAAGGTTTATCAAAAAAGGGAATGAAAAAATAGAAAGAGAACTAATCGAAGCTTTCTGTATCCACAAAGCGGCTGACAGATGCGTAAGCATGCCATCTCTTTATCTGTTAACCAAAGAAATTCTGTTTTTTGAAGGATGTGTGTAATGAGTGATAGGAATTTTTATCAGTTGCATGTGTTTAGGTGATTGGGATCGAGTTTGACGATGATTCGTGTTTCAATAAATCAGTTGGAAGTTGGCGCCTGTCCGTGTCGTACGTGTCTCTTTTTTCGTCCCGTTTGTTCGCGCCTTTTAACCTTTTTAATCGATATGAACCAACTAGCCCCAACCAAAGTTTTATTGCGTCGCTTTATCGTATGCCGTCTGTGCCAGAGTGCCGTGACCCCAAGCAGGTGTGAAGTAAAGAAACTGCTCTTTGAAATGTCACCCCGCCTCAGCGGAAGAAATCGTTCCTTATCCTGCGTTTGAGCATTCATCAGTCCAGCATTTCTTTTGTCCCACCCGAGGGTTGCAAGACTGCTGCTATGAAGCGTATGGGCTCTCGTGCAATGGCAGACGACGACAACAATGAGGAAAGATGCAGTACAGACGAGGAGAATGAGCAAGGATGCTCGAGAGTGAACCGATGCCAAAGTGACTTACAACTAGCGATCACTGAACTCAGACTGTCAAGGGGGGCCCGAATCTACGACAATAAAGACGATTCGTTCCTTACTGAAAAATTAAAGACGTTTACAACTTCCTGTAACGCCGATTTAGAGCGCAGCTCTCGAGGAGGAGTGTACGCCCCTCCTCCTCCTTTTACGCGCGAAACCTCATGTGACTCACGTGACGTTTCGGCACATTACTTCCACCGAAACGTCCCTTGCGACGTTTCAGCACAGCGCGGTGCATTATGGGATGTTTCCCATAATGAGCCGCGGGGTTACGCCGACGGCAACGCCAATCAAGCTGGAGACACGCACCTCAGAGCTGCACTCTCAAACATGAAGCCCATTTCATTTCATCCTGCTTAGGATCCACAAGCGCGGCCCCAAACCACCATCGGCAGGTTCGGCGGTGTCCCAAAAAGGCCAAGTCGACTCGTCATCAACGGAGAACACGAAATCCGAGATTAACCGGTCTAGTTGAAACCACGACTGGACTGGTAACTACGGAGCATGTATGCCTGATCTAGACTATTTGCCATTGCAATACATTAGTGGCTGCTGAAAATGCATTGCCCACGGTTCAGTCACTATTCTGACTTTGAGCAAGTGGCCTCCCCTGCACAGGCTATTCCATTGAGCGCTATGTTGTGAAGCAGTTTCTCGGCTGCCGCCACGTTAGCGCTCCTAGCGGGTAAGACACGGTTCGAGTGTTTCGTGTTAGTTTGGCAAGCACTATACATCCATGACGAGCGATGCGGCCGACTGTGTTTTGCGTCGGATTCGCAACACCAGAGAGGAACTCCGACTTACCGTTTGCTGAAGGTCGGAACAGATTTCCTGGCTGTCTCCAAGGTCAGAGGTCATGGGATAGGTCAGATGTCAGGGCTGCATGAAAAAAAAAAACAAGAGTCCACTTTACTAAAGAGAGATTAATGCTCACTTCACATAAAATAAAACAACTAAGACATGCACAACAGAATTAAAGGGGCCCAGCAATCATATTTAAGCGTCTACCTTTTTTGTGGTTTCCATGTCTCTTGGGGTTCGGGCAAACCAGCGGGCACAGAGAGATAACTAAATATCAGTGCGTCATACATACTTTAACCAGACAGTGCAGAAACCTCCTCCAGCTACGAGGGCGACCCGCGGTGGCCGAAAGCGCGCGATATGTGACGTCTTTGGTCGTGGGCTTGCTACTGGTCAGAACTGCTAAAATATTTTTTTTTTTTTTTTTAGCCAGGATACAGAATATATGTGTCGCGAACCGTTCCAATTATGTATGAAAGTAGTCTTTGCTCAGTATTTTAGATCAAAAAAGAAACAAATCCAGTTTATAAAGTACGGAAACAAGAAATGACTCGTAAACATACCCACCACCAAGCGGCGGAAAAAACGGCGCTTACTAGAAAGGGCTAGTGAAATGAGGCGCCGACGAACGGCAAACGTAGAAAGGTCCCGGATGTACGCGGCGATGCTGCGGTCGTATACCGGATCAAGGATCCGACCGGTTCCGAGCGTTCCCAAGGCTTTCGGCGCGGGCTTGGTTGGCGATTTTGCCATTAGGTGGTATGGCAGCGCGGCTCCCGTTCTGAACTGATATTTACCCCATGTTTGCTGTCGTTTGTGGCCAATGAAGCGTTATGCCGAATTAGTCTTTAATCGGGCAGCAAATGCAATGCGAGCCGCCCTGGCCGCCCGCTACCTACAGCCTATCCAACACGTGCTTTAGTGGCGCCCTCTTGAGCCGTCGACACGGAGTGCGCTAGCCGTGAGCGCTCGACGAGCTCAATACCCCTCCTCTAGTTCACGGCCACTCAAGCCAGGACCTACGACGTCATGGAGGATGTTATTTTTGGGTAGTTTTTGTAATTCTAATTTGCCTATAACTTCTAAAATAAAGCGAAATTTGAGAAAAGAAAGGTTTCATTAAGTTACTACGTTCAGTGCGCTCAGGATCGGTGCAAATTAAAAACTAGTCAAAAAGTTGTTGCAGAGCCCCTTTGAGTGTTACTTGTATGTTTTACTCGGGAGAGCCAGTCTTCAGAAAACCATCACCGATACTTATGTGGCACATAATAAACCAAAATTTGGAATAAAAAAAAAAAAAAAAAAAATGCAATGTAGGCGAAATGCTACAATCCTTACAACACTACTCATAAGGCGATATCTCGAATGGACGGCCATACTTTTGGAAAAAGAGGTTGAAATTGAACGAGGCCAACGAGGCATGAGACGTCCAAGATATCTCGTTTCCTCCTCTCTTCGTTTCGCCCTCTCAGGGCGGCGAGGCCCATTCCCTCTCCTCGAAGAAACAAGACAAAAACATATCTGTCAAATGCACCTCCTTATTTGGAAAAATATGGTCATCCGTTCGAGGTATCGCTGTACAAATCAATCAAATTTGGGGGTTTTACGTGCCAAACCAACGACGGGCATCTGGCACGCCCCAGCGGAGGACTGGGGATTAATTTGGACTACCTGGGGATCTTTTGACGTTCAACCGAAAGCTCGGTTACACGGCGCCTCCTCCGCAATAAGCCTCCGTCAGATTGCGGGCACCTCGGCCGGGATTGAGATATCGCTGTACGAGTGATGTTTTGGTGTTCATAGCATGTACAGACTGACAGGCCCCAAAATGTGGTGTCTAATGATCTACCTTCAACAATGCAACATGTGCACCACAGTTGCTGTTTCCTAACCCCAAGACACACAAGTGAAACAATGCAAACACATCTACTGTTAGTAAAGCATAAAATAGCACAACAGAAAGACAAGGACAAGAAGTATACAGGACAGGCACCAACTTTATATATATATTTTATGTTTTACTAAGATGAACCAACTAGCCCAACAACGTACCTTACTAAACATCTACTGTTTCACACAATACACATCTACTGTTTCAATCACAAGCCGTGGACTAGCCAGTCTGCTTGGAAACAGACACAGGAACAATGCTCAGCAAAACACGCACAGAGCCCTGCCATCCACACCACGACCATGGAAACCAGCCTCAAGTGAACCGTTGGCCCTCGACGCAACATGACTGACCTAATTAACTATGTCCATGCAACCGCCACACACAGCTGTAGGTATGAGCTCATCCCTTTCGTTTTAAAATGTTCCTACTGCACATGTGCTCACGAAACCTGCGAGATTGGTTTCATGAATGTTTATAGGGAAGAAATTAACAAAGCACACCAACTTCTGCCTCTGCAACACAAATGCAACGTGGCCAGTGCAGTACGACCACTAACTTGGGCAGTTCAGACATACCTCGTGCATTAGCAATTAAACGATAGCACGCCAAAACAACAGCTGCCCAGATTAAAAAAAAAAAAAAAAGTGGAATTTTCTCTTGCAGTGCGAGACTTCGCTTGGCTATGAAGCGAGTTTTGAAATGTACCACTAGTGAAGCCTGCTAGCGCAGCAGAACCACTGATCTAACAGTACATTATTCGAGTCTTAGACGCATAAACTACAAATGTGTCGGGACTGTTGAGTTGAATTCTCAAGTGTGACAATGTTTTGTGCCACTGTGACCTCAACAAACCACTGGTATTGGTTTGTGACGCCTCTCCTTACGGAGTTGGGGGTGTGTTAAGTCACACAGATGACGAAGATCAAGAGCGACCTGTCGCTCATGGATCGCGTTCGCTGACAACAGCAGAAAGGAACTACTTTCAAAACGGATGGGGAAGCACTAGCTGTAGTTTTCGGACCTATGGAAGCAGCATAAAGATTTACACTGACCACAAACCGTTACTAGGTTTGTTCGACAACAAGACACCGATTCCAAAGATTGTGTCACCGAGGGTCCTCCGCTGGAGCTTGATAATGGCAGCTTACAATTACGAACTGTTGAAATGCAGCTAGTCTGAGCCAACTTCCACTACCTTCACCAAACTTCGACACTCCACAGCTGGCAGAGCTTTTTCTTTTGGAAAGAACATCGGAAGGTTTGGTGAAAGCCAAAAAAAAATCGCCAAAACAACAAGGATCAGGTTCTTTCGAAGGTGATGTACTGGGTTCTCCATAGGTGGGTCGTAACGCAGTTGATGATAGGTCATAAGATACGAACAGCTTTAGAAGTGCTTCATCCATCATATAAAAAAAACATGCTGGAAAGGCACGAGAAGATGCCCATGAAATAGAAAAAGGAAATGGTCATTTTTCAGGAAGATGCGATGGTCTGGGTAAGAAATCTACTGTCGCCCCATCCCAAGTGGTGGGCAGGAGAAGTGACGAAAAGTTGTGGACCTCTGTCGTACGAAGAACTATTGGAAGATGGTAGATGGTTCAGATGACATGTCGATTACCTGCATCCACGTTGGAAGGACACGACACTGCCCTGATCATCCGAATGCGGTACAAGTCTCGGGGAAGACAAAGAAAGACCGTGAAGACGTCATGGAGACAACTACGGATGCGGAGTGTGGGACAACATTCCCCCGTACAAGCGAGACTCAGGAGGAGCTTTAGGGTGCCGAACCCGCAGAGACACCGATATTTGAACTGGAAACACTTTCCCGTCCAACAACTGACGCGGAGGTACCCACTGGTCGTCCGAACAAGAGTATGTCGAGCACTGCGGTACCTTCAAGATTACGAGGTGGATTAAGATACCTACGGACTGGGTGGTTACTGTTCTGGGAAAAAGGGATGCAGTGGTACGGGGATTACCGCGGAGCTGGAAGACTACAAAGTGAGTGAGCAAGGAAACGTGCCAGCGGGCGGGCACGAGCATGGACTGCGAGAGCATGGACTCCGAGAGCATACAGCGATTCGAGCCTATTCTATCTTTTATAAGTTATTGAATGTGCGAGTCTGCTGTAATGTAGCGTTGGTCTCCATACATAACAGGGACAGTGTAGGAAAGCTGCAGGTGCAAAAAAAGAAAACATGCACACTGTCACAGTGCAAGTTCATGTCTTGTACATGTTAGTTTTGTCTGAAGGGCTGTTGCACCAAGATGTGTTCGTGTAATCACTTGTGCATTTCGGGGTTGGAGTATGTTGCAATCTGAATGTAGTTATCGCTGTTGTTGGATGCTATTTGACGTTGGAGCTCAAGGCTGAAGTCACTCTTCTCCCAACCAGTCATGGCACACCGTGCAAATTGCCTCTTCAAAACACAAATATTCACATATTTCTCGCTGTGTGAAATGTTTCGGGGGGGATCGCTGGCCAAGTGTGGTAACAGCTCAGAACATGCAGAGTGCAGCTCGTGTTGCTGAACACAGGAATCCTGGGTTTTAATCTGGACAAGCATAACTAGCAGGTGCTTAAATATCACTACTGAGTGATGCAGTTTGAAGACCCGAGGCTAGTTGTACCACACTCGCTAAATGTTTCACCTACTGTGGAGACACCAGACACCTTTTGGGGCTACCTTAACACCATGTGAACATGCAACAGAATTACCTACCAGCCCCGCAACATATTTTGATTACCGTCCTTTTTCTGATTACAGCTGTATCTCAAAACTAGACAACCACCTTGAGAGCTTTTCAAAATGAATGAGAATCATCACCACTTCCGCGACTATCTCGAGAGATAGAATTGGGTCCGTGCTACGGACGAGACACATGCTGTGTAAATCACAAAAAAAACGCGACAGAAGGTTTTTCTTTGCAAATTTTAGGTTAGTCAAGATTGATTAAGCAATGAGATAAGGATATTGTAGTGAGTGCGCAGGCGAGCTGGTGGAAATTAACCATTCTGATGTTAGCCTGAGACTGAGGCAGGAAAAGAGGAAGTTTCAAAGTAGAAGAAAAAGGAACAGTCGAGGATACGTAGTGGAAGTTTCAAAGTAGAAGAAAAAGGAACAGTCGGCACATTTTAATCGATCGGTGCTGTTCCTTTTTCTTCTACTTTGAAACTTCCTCTTTTCCTGCCTCAGTCTCAGGCTAACATCAGAAGAGATAAGGATAGCGGGTTTCGCCGATTAGAGCAAGTTAACGTTCTGCAATTCGGCGCCAAAAAAAAAAAAAAAACTTTTACCTTTTTGTTTAAGTGATGTATCTCAGATAGAGTTCTAACTACAGCGTGGTTTATTGACTCTTCTTTTTATTTGATCGCTTCTTCTCGAAAGCCGGCGTCTACCAGACCGATCGTCTGATCACGCAGCGATACAAAAACTCAAACTAATATAGAGTCGTCTGCGAACCGGATCAACTTCACAATTAAAAAACAAAGGCGCAAACTAACGCTCGTTTTTTTCTTTCCTCTGAAGCTGGTCTAAACTTTAAAGCGACAGTAGATACACCCGTTGCAAGACAAAAAAAAAAAAAGGAAAAAAAAAAAAAAAATCTTTCTGAGCTTTTTGAAACGTCGGGGAGAAAAAAAGAAAAACGATATACAACAAGAAAACCGAGAACCCAAGACTCCAAAAGCTAGCCTTGACGAAGGGAAAATACCAGGCACGTGACCCTGTCTCAAGACTACCAAGCGGAGAGGCTATCAAAACCGGGTTCGCCGTGGTATGCAGTGAGGGCGGCAGACAGGCTACAAAAACAAAATTCTCCGAATAGCGTGAACAATGATCACAAGTTAAAATAAGGGACGAAAAACAAGAGAACTCAATACGTTTCGCGGGTGATCAGGAATAACCACAAAGCGCCGTGAATCTTCGCCGGCACCGCGATATCAATAATCAACCCTTTGACACCTTCGTTTTTTGTTTCGAGCTCACGTTTTTCTTTGGGGACAAAAACCGTGTATACTCCAGTACACACGCACACCCGATCGATCAAAAAGTGCCGATTCACATATTTTTGCCTGCTTAAGACATGGACGGTTCTCGAAACCTCGGGGTTGCGAAACGATGTGCGGTTACCTACGATGGGGGGGAAACCGAATTGAATAACCCAATTTGGCTGCGCCGATTCCGGGAGAATCGGAAAGACGACGCGACAGTCGCGTCGATTTGACCGCCAATTCTACCACGTTCGAGGCGACTTCCGACTCTCCAGGGACCCTGGAGACTCGACAAAGCGATGACAAGGCACATTTCATGTTTGGGAGCACGTGCTAGGCTATGAGCCGGAGCTAGGAAAAAAAAAAAAAGTTGGAATGGCTGCAACCCAAATGGCATAGAGACGGGGGCGCAGGACTGTTTTGAAGTCGCCGTTTCGGGCTGTACCTTCGCCGGAATCGACTCCAGGAGGGTCGTATCGCGTGAAGCGATGATCGAAGTTCGTTGCGAACGCGGTTACACAGCGATCTTGCGGTAAAAGTAATTCAAAAACCGCTTGTTGCTAATTCAATAGACCTCGTGGCGTTAGGCCTACTGGCCCGGGGGTTGGTGCCTTCGGCTTGGCAAACGCGCGTTCGCGACGCTCGGCATGTAGCTACGCGCGGGTCGCGGCAACGAAGGGCTTGTACTTACGTGCTTGCAGATGAGTCCAATCCTAGCGGTGTAGGATATAAAAAATATAGAGTGTCTTTGCAACTTCCTACTTCACGTCCAGTGCCTGACTATGCAGACCGCTGGCCTAGCCTCGACAGCAGGGAGCACTCGAAGCGACTGGCAGTTCGCCGCTTGGGACATGCATCGCTGTGTTCGAAACCAGAACTTTGGACGTGGAGTTTGGATTTTAAAGACGTTTCGGCGTCGGACGGTGTCCTTTTCCGCTGCAAAGAACTAAGCTTGCGCGGAGACGAGACGTCACTTGGAACTTTTTAATCTGCACGCCGAACAAACGGGCCAAAAGGCACGCGTCTGTTTTGGGACGAATCACGTTGATAAGAGTTCCGTTTTTGATGTTGCTAAAACACAATGTATAGCGATTTACATCCAAACGTCTGGCTAAATGAAATAATACTATTTTTTTCTCTGATATAACTAAATTTTCAACATGTGTCCTGCTCGACTAAAAGCTAGAACCTACGCCGGGAGAGATCCGAAACCATCGTTTTCGAAACTGCCGCCCCTCGCGTGTCTTGTCACAATCCAGGGTAAACCTGAAGGGTTACCTCCGTCGCTCGATTAAAAGTCATTTATATTTATTGACAGTCGGCCAACCGTTTAAAAAACGAAGCCGAGTGACCTCATAACTTGGGTGTCGCAACCAGTTGTAACGGCGACAGCGGCACACTCCACTACAGATTAAAAAACAAAAAAAAAGTAAAAGAAAAGTTACTGTCTTCCCAACCTCCCCTCCGGTTGGACGAGTCCATTCCACATCCGGGCAATCTTTCCGACATTGTCACGCTAGCTCCGCTCCCTTGCCTCCCGTCCAGCCTTGAAGAGGTGCTGTTCCCGCCCGTCTAAACCCGTAAAATTCGTTCAGAGAGGGCTGTTATACTCCATCAACGGTTTTCAAGGACTACTGTATGTCTGCCGGTATTCAGAACCTCAAAACCTTTGGTGAGTTCCAGCTGCAACGGCCAATTTCTCCCATGTTAATGGACATGTGCTGAGAAGGCACAAGGTCAGGCTGAGCGCTGCGTCGCATCATATTTAAAGAGCTGCCGCCCTCAAAACTCGAATTCCTAGATTGGAACGTTTTCTCTATCGATGAAATCTCGAAAATCGTCCAATGCGACAGCCTCGAATCTCCGAGAATCCAAGTTACGCACCTTGGATGACATTTCTTATATTTTCCGCCCAAAATGCCGGCCTAATTTGTTGTAATGTTACAATATATGGGACGCCCAAACACTACCCAAGCTGTAAAACGGAACCTATGACAAAGCACATCGTGCTCTAGTCTAATCCCGACGACGTAACACCCGCTGGAATGCGTTGCGACGTAGATTAGGCCTAGCTTTTTTGTCCTGTGCGTGCGAGCAGGCGGTGTGGGATCTGGGTCGATGTTTTTCGTGTAAAGCCCTAGGCGAAATGTCCAGTTTGTCTCGTCGGCGAGCTTTTAATTTCCGCATGCCTTGTGATCGTAACTCGCCGTTTCACTTCGCGTAACTTCGGCAGCGAAAAGCGTCGTCAGCCAGCTTTGCGTCAGCTCTTGGCGTGGGAGACAGGTTCCTGATGCTTTTATTGTTTATTTTTGTTTTCAGACCCCTTTGCTGATGCTATCAGGGGTGATGAGCAGGGAGTACAGGACGGTTTAATCCACATCCGAATCCAACAGCGGAACGGTCGCAAAACCCTCACGACTGTGCAGGGAATATCTGACGACTATGACAAGAAGAAAATCGTGAGAGCCTGTAAAAAGGTAAGCTGCGCTCAATCTCCTTTGGCTTCAGCCAGACACTGCGTTGGTTTGACAGCATAGAGGGTCTTGGTTGGGGCAGGAAGTGGAGCAGAACTCGTCGAGAAAGCAACAAAATCGGTCTTACCTGTACAGGTGAAACTAGTGCAAGACAACCTGCATACCTGTTTGGGGATATGCTGCATTCACAACTTGTTCAGATTAGTCAACTCTGTTGACAGTGTGATGCTAGTTAGTCGCTGAGAACTGCAGGGAAGCCCTTAACATTTGGGATTTCATAAGCCTGGAGGCCTGGGCATTCGGAAGTTCTGTCCTGCCATACCCATCCTCTCGGCAACTATTGAATGTGTTCGAGTCATGTTCGGTCAATGCAGAAACTTTGAGGGGGAAGTCATCTTGACACAGCTTTGAACCCAAGTGTACTTGCAAGCTTGGCATGCTGGAATGAAGCAACATCTTTCGGGTTTATAGCAGTGCCAAACTTTGGGCAGCCGTTCAAAAGTGCGCAATTCGTAAGAATCCAACAAGCCAGTTGCGTTGCAGTGTGCAATTTTTCAACACATCAAAAGAAGAAAAAAAAAAAAAAAACAACTAATATGGTTTCTTTGCTAAGGCTTTGTCTATCAGTAATGATGTCTAAAGAGCGAAGTTGTAAGATGTAGGCCACATTTCAAATTTTACTCAATCGGACTCCAGGGTGAGGGTTTTGTACTTTGGCATTCCAAAACCTATCTGCGTGCAGCGCTTTTTTAAATCTGTGTTATGTAATGCAACTCGCCGGAGTAACTCTGATCCATTTGGGTAAGATTTAAAACACAACCATATTCATTCAAGCATTTTTTTTTTTTTTTTTTATCTTTCAAGCAGTGGTTTGCATTTGTAGAGTTGTGTGTGGCGTTTACTGGTGTTCAGATATGGCCCATAATGAAAAAGTTTTAAAATTGAACTGCCGGCTCATAGTCCGTAGCCCACTGAAGCATTGCTTGAGGCGGGCAGGTCGATTTATCTGTGGTGGTCAACTGAGCTACCAGTCATACTAAAGGGGGAAAAAAAAAAAAAAAGACTATGACTGATTGTGCCCATATTGGTGCCAGCCTTTTCTAGAAACCCGCATCGCCCGTCGCATGAAGTCCATACTTCAAAGTTGTGCTGGCAGACGAAGTGAACAAAACGGCTATGGTTTCACATGTGCCACCTTGCACCTAAGAAGCTGCAAGCAGCAAACACCTTTTGACGTTGGTTCAGTAAGTGCAGTGTAGAGCAATATGGGACGTGCTGCCAAAACCACTGGAACTATTGCGTGACGTCATCTAACATCTCACTTGCACAGGAGTGTGTACGAATCAAACACCAAATCCAGGTACAAGCTCACGCCGGCAGCTTTTACAGCGTTCTACACTATAGCCAGTGAATGTTTGAGAATGCGGTGCAAACATCACCTCATTGCTTGAACAATCGAATGGCCGGGCATTTGATTGCCTGACCTCCGGAGCCAGTCGCAGACTGTACTCCAATCATACCTAAACTGATAGTGCGACGGGAGCCATGCATTTGCTACACCAATGAAACGCCTGCTTTTCATCACGACTTCGTTGCGATATTGTGTAGCGAAAGGTTGACGTGCGGTCCAAAAAACGTGTAGCGTCCACCGCCCTGTCAGCGAACAGAGTTCTATCGTCAAGATGTTTAGGTGGTCACCTTATGGTTCCCCCATGTTAGGTCACTGCCAGATTTTGTCTCGCTGCTACATCCGAACTTAAGAGGCTGGCTTCTTCTCAGTTGCGAAAAATGAGTTCGACGTTGTCCATAAAAAGCACAACAGAAGCTAAGGGACATCGCACTCTCAAACCAATACCGTTCGTGGCAACGTGTAGCTCTTTACTTTTCCAGTTAGAGCAGTTTTGATTTGTTTTAAACATCATAGTCATGGAAAGCCGGCCACGGCGACGCTTTTGATCACACGCTATGCCAATAGTCGGGGACAGTGACGAATGCAGCAAAGAGCTCTGTCTCCCCCCTCCCCTCCCCTCCCTCCCTCCCTCCCCCCCCCCCTCCCCCCCCGCACACTACGAGCCACCTAAGTGTTAGCAGTAAAGTACTGCATCTTTTAACTTTTCACCGATTACAAGCATGAAACTCGTCTTGTCAGTAGTCACTGACAAAATGAAAGGGAGGGAGCCTTTTTCGATTGCCCCACCTCCGGCACGCGTTTGTTGCCTTTGGCTGCGCATGCATGCTCGAAGCGTCGTCGAAGGTAGGGATCTCTCGCCAGAGACTAGACGACTCCGCCCTGCCACGCTTGTCAGTGCCCTAAGCATTGAGCTAGGTTGAAGGTTTTGATGGCCCCTTCCACGCAGGAATTTGCCTGCAACGGCACGGTGGTGGAGCATCCGGAGTATGGGGAGGTGATCCAGCTTCAGGGGGACCAGCGCAACAACATCTGCCAGTTCCTGACGCGGATCCAGATCGCCAAGCCCGACCAGCTCAAAGTGCACGGCTTCTGAGGCGTCCCGTGCACGCCCCCCTCCACTGTTTCGGCAAACTGCCATGTACCTCCAACTCGTGGACAACTTCCAAGATCCGATTGGCTAGCAGCAATTCTCCACACCTTCCCGTCAGAATGGAATGCTCTTACGTTTTGTCTTCTCTCGTCTGATGCTGTCAGTTGTGAATAAAATTGTACCGAAATGGGAGTTTCCTTTTTAAAAGCCCCGTGTCATCTTTTCGCTTTTGCTCCTGGTGACGAACGGTTTAGCGTGGGTGGGTCTTCCCACCCACACTGCCAGTTATGTGGACTTGATGCAGTGAAAAGTGTAAACCTTTCTGGTGCACGTGCCTGGTTTTGAGAGAGTATGTCGGCATTTCGCGACTGCGTTGGTTCGTGGGTTTTCTCGTCGGCGGGCCGTGGCAGCCTGCGTAAGCGCAATTCCGGATGCTGGTAGCAGCTAAATTGCAGCGCTTTATTAAACTTTTGTGTTCTATGGCAAATAGAATTTCTCGAGTTAAAGGAAACATTGCACTATTTTTGAGAACAAAAGTATTAGTCCGTGCACGACAAAAATGTAACTAGTATGTTCAATTTTATGATTTTTTACAGCACCATACACTCGGCCGTGTCAATCTACAAAGGTCTTGACTGTTGAAAATACTTGACTATGCAGGATAACCGAACTGCACGAGTATTCTCCGCACACATGAAATTCAACGAGTGTCATCAATCAAACAACTTGTATTGTACGTACCCCAGGGTGCCACGTTATCCGAAGAGGATCTGAGAAACGTTTTAACTAACGCAGCATATCCAACAACCAGGGTTGACCGACAATCAAACAAAATCCGGTCGTCATGAAGCTGCTTTTTTTGCACAGAAACAAAAGCAAATGAACGAACGTGTCTGTTCCATACCCTGAACCTGACCCTATCGGCTATTTTTTCGCAAGGACCGGGAGGACGTTCGCCTTCTTCGTTCGTTTTCAGCAAATGCCGAGCAGGCTACGGGCCCCGGTATTCTCTGGTTCTCGCAGTGGAAGATAATACAAAAAGGGGTAAGCATCCTGAACGTGCAAATGAAGTAAAAAGTTTCAAGAAAAGCCGGCAAACTCCGAGTGCACGATACAAATGGGAGTAGCACTGACCGGGTTACCACAGCTTGGGCGGGTGGCAGAAATTTCTGACTGAGCGGGTCGCAAAATGGCGGCAGCCAAAGAGCTCTCATTGCAAAACACTTGGAAGTGTTGTGCATTGCCCAAAGAATGGTGCAACTGTAAAACATGTGCAGGCTTGCAACATGTGCTGGTTAGGGTGCAATGCCAACGGAACATGAACCTTGTAGTGTTATTTCAGGCCCCGGTATAACGCAGCATTAAACTATTAATCACAATCGTGCCTTCATCTTAATGGGCTCATTCTGAAAAACTACCAGAACTAGCTATACTGAATGATCTAGAGCCATGAAATGAGCTACGCTTCGAGTATCGGCACTCCAATCCCCAATCTGCTAGTGGTCCGCAAAATATTGGTGCCTAGTGTAAAGCAGATGAAACTATCGATCATCACAATTAAGAAATGAGACTTCCTCGGCTTTAGATTTGGTGTTGGGAAGCTCGGGTGATGTCGTTTTGCACTGTCGCGAACTGTTTTTAACATGTCTTGAGGATGGAAAACAGTTTCGTGCCATTTCAGATAACTGGCCACCATGGGCTTAAGCACCAAGAATAACAGTGGGTAGCTAAGTTTGAGGAGCTTAAAGTGGGACTTCATGGAGGTGAGGGAGAAGCAGGCTGTGCTCAAGACCCAAGTCAAGGAGCTCAATGATGAGCTCAAGCAGGAATGGGAGGATAGAAAGAGACGGGGCGGTTATGTTCGAGGAATTAAGGGATATGCGTATGGAATTGAACATGGAGAGAAAGAAGCGAGAGGTGCTAGAGGAAGCCTGGCAAAGTCAGATGTAGGAAGGGAAGGTGATGCAAAGGTCCAACAAAGATAAACATGAAGCAATTGAAAGGCAACTGGAGGCTAGGTTAACGAAGGAGAAGGAAGGGCAAGAGGCAATGGAGAAAGAGCGGGTGGGACGCGAGCAACAGAACATGAAGAGATGGGGGACGGAGGGAGGAGCAGTTGACGCAATGCCGGTTGTAGATGGGGCAGAGGACGTAGACACTGGTGTGGCGGCAAAGGAAGCGAGGTTGTGTACACAGTACGCTGGTGCAACGGAAGACGACCGCTACTCTGACAGCTGCCACACCTGCGATGCAGGAAAAACAAAAAGGAAGGGGGCAGAGACTGTTGGTGATAGGGAGCTCCAATGTGTTTAGGCGCGCAGCGGGGATCACCAGCAGAGTCAAAGGAGATGGGACAGTAAAGGTTGCAGCCCTCCCAGGCAGGGGGACGAGGGTGGTGACGGACACCGCAGTGGAAATGGCGACTGTTAACAAGGGGGAAGAAAACCTTGTGGTGGTACATGTGCGAATGAATGATGTCCAAGGTAGAAGGGGAGGGGACCTGGCCACAGACATCGAGGACGGGTCATACATAATCTCTGGTATGGTGCACATTGTAATGTGCACCATCCCGGAGATCAGGGGCAGAGGAGTAGCCACAGAGAGGGCAGTCTAGGAGGCTAGCAGGACCACCACGAGACTAAACTCAAAGAACGGATATGACATCATGAATGTGTAAAGGGATGTACACCAGGAGAGTTTGACCCCCCCCCCCCCCCCCCCCTTAAAGGCCGCTGTACAAACGGGACGTTCTGCAGGGAAGAACCTTCTCTCTTGAAGCTGGAGACGGGGCGGGAAAGGGCCAGCGTTGGGTGGAAAGGGCGTCTAGAGAATGGGATTAGCCTCGGGGCGAGCCATTTTCTAGAGAGGGAGTGGGGACGGAACATAGCTGCCGTGGGGGTTCCGGCTACCAGGTGGAAGATAAGCTTGTCAAACGGCGACCTCGGATGCGAGGACGGGCACGTCAGAGAATTTGAAAATAGCTGCTTGATTAGCCGGACGACCCAGTGCGGTCTACTGGCTCTAGAAGGTGACTCGGATGAAGAAAACTCATTTTGCTCCAAAACTTTAAAAGCATTCTGGAACGTGAACTCTTGCCACAAATAAAAATAACACATACATGAAAAGCTACGAAGGCACCTAAGCTTTCTCCTATGATGTGAGAATGCGTGAGCATTCCAGGCAGAGTTACTAGGCGCAACGAATTGCGCGCTAGTTTCACGATCAAGAGGGCCTAGCTTCGAAACCGGGCAGGGATGGTTTTTTTCTCGTGTTATTTTTTATTTCGTTTTTTTTTGTTCGGTCACGTGACAATAAAAATCACATGAACAGAATTTTTTTTTGGCCACGTCACCAAAACTTTTTTTTTTTTTTATTATTTCTCCTTTTCTTCTGTCTTTTTTTTTCTTCCTTTTTTCGGTTTACCCTCCCTTTTGCAAAACTCTTTGCACCTATTTCGCGTTACTTTGGCGTTAGCCAAATCATTTTATTTATGGCAGGGAATTCTGCCGTACGTATCTTATGTTACTATTACCAATCCTGGCTTGCAATACGCATAGACAATTTCGTCCGGCAACCAGTTTGGGAATGACGAGGCCAAATTTGTGTTATAATTTTTTTGAGGTATAAGCATAATTTCAGCCTCGTTATCGGTCGGTCTCTGTGATTGGCTCTTCCAGTATCTTTTGGGAAGGCAGACGACTGGCATTTTTAGAGTGCACGTGTGTTGACCAGAGTGAACATTGCTGAAGCGCCTCCAGTGTGATTTTGGCCGTAAATAACTGGAGGCCCCGGGCAAACCCACCCAATGTAGAAAAGTATCTACCTTTCTGGTTTCATAGAGAGCTATGTAAGGGACGAATCCCAGCCGAGTCAAACTACCGGCTTGCAAACGCAATCGTGTTGACAATAGCTCCAAGGAGTTTGTACGACTCTCTCTGGCAATGTGCAGAGGGTAAAGGCACGGAGGTAATATATGCTTTCGCCTAGTCACCTCGCAAACGGTTGGGTATTGGCTGCAGAGATCCATTTCGCTTTGTTTTATTACCGGGATTATAGCTTGACTTCTGTGTTCCTAATTTCACAGACAGAACGAAATCGCTTTTCTCGTGTGGCGTCACGGCGGTAAGACAGAAATCAATCAGTGTACCGGAATTCGACGCTTGTGCTCGTCCTATAGCGCTTCTAAAAACCGTGCGATCACGGCTGTGCAACGTCAACAATGCATAAACTGCAGTTACTTGTACTCGTATTGCATCGTGAGGGAACGACTATGACTGGGTAAACAGGAATAGGGAGAATGGGTGCGTGTGATTTGTTGAAGTTTGAATCAACAAATCAAGCTTCAACGAATGCGATAGTATTGCATTCACTGAACCAGCTATATGAGTTTTCAGACGGTATATACCTTCCAAGTATGCGATTCGTGTTCTGCCAGTGGTACCTCAGCTAAATTAAAAAGCAAATTTCACGTTGAAAAAAAAAAAGTTTACGGTGACTCGAGCCGCTCCCGCGCCGAATCATGTTTCACGTAAGCGTAATCTTGGGGTCGATGCACGACGAGTTGTCTTCAATCCTAAAAATAGTTTGATTACGATTATTGGCAACGCTAAAAATTTGAAAGCCAAGCAGTGAAGACAACGGTGTTCTTATAAATATTATATACATTTTATTTTACACTGTTTGAATACGCTGCCATCGTTATGTTCTTGAATTATTGGCTAGCTTGTGGCAGACAGGAAGTCTTGCAGGACCATATGATAGGACCTACACTAAACCTGCCGCGCTTCGAAAAATGTTAGTCCAATGCATACAAGCTTGTTCAAGGCGGACGGAGCGTTGCGCATTCGGCAAGGCGCATCAGTCGCTGCCCGCGGCGTTTTTTTTTTTTTTTTGAGCAGCGAAATAATTTTTTGTCAAGCAGCAGGCCCCCTCTTCGGCGGGTTAGGCCGGATTAACAGAGGTGTCTCCTAATCCATTCTCCGTGTTGTCCCCTTGGGGGAGGGCGGTAAACAGGTGGGGGAGGGCGGTGAAGGAAGGAAAGGAGGGCAGGAGGAGGAAACGCAGAAAAAGTGGAAAGCGCGAACTGTACGGTGGCCTTTAAGCAGAAACAGCATCAACTAAGGGGAACTGAGGGGGCGAAGGATGGGTGGCAGAGCAAAGGCTTTTTTAGGAGTCTGCACGGCCCTCCGACAGCTTGCTCAAAAGCA